CGAAACTTACTAGTCCCAAAACGCTGGTTGCAGAGAGAAACTCCCTTATTATTTATATCATTGTCTTTTATTTTCTCTTTATTAATTGAATGTTAATTGTTTATTTTTAAACCGAGCGACGTAAATAATATTTCTTACCATCTTAACTAGTACTTCCCAAACAATAATAGAAAAATAGAATCAAAGGAGTTTAGGAAGGATGTATTTTTCTTTGTTTAAAGATGTCAATCACCTCTTGTTATGTTAGGTCAACTAAAATTATGTGTCACTCTCATGATATATACATATTTTATTCGCAGCGTGTCATGTTCGTACTCATGTCACGCCCAACGCAACAAGTTCATTGAGTTCTCGAATTCTCTTTCATATCTGTTTTTTGAATAATTAAATTTTCATTTTATTATGACACAATTGAAATTAAATGAAAAAAAAAATTATTCAAAGAAAAGTGAAATGAATGGATGTGTTTGTCATCTATATTCATTTTAAACATTACAAATTCTATCAAATGTTCATATGCAAGTAAATAATCAACTATATTCTAAATCTAAAAATTGTGCTTATCATGGTATTAGCCTGTCATGTTTAAAGGATTGTGTCATGGTTAAATCGTACTGGTGTCATGTTGTGTTTTCATAGTTTAGAATTTTTACAGAATACGATCATCCATCTAAAAATTAAGCCTTCAACGCCGAGACGAGACTCCATCAAGTTAAGATCATCCTTCTTCACAATTAAGCCTTTATGTTGGAGCTTGCACCTTTGTGGGCGTCTTGATTCATGATGAGAACGGGTGTGACAACCATTAATCTTTTGAGGCAAAAGGGTCAAGACAGGATAAATTGTGCAATTTCACATCATTTGGAGAAGGTCATAGGTGATAATTTATAAAAAAAAAACATCACTTCCTAATGATGTGAGGACTTTAGAGGGAAAGTCCAAGAGCAAAACCGTGCAGATTTAAGCTCAAAACAGAAAATATTGTACCAACTGAAGGTGCGAGTTGTTACAACTACTCATTGTTTTTCTCACAGTGACACTGTTTATGAGACATCTTTGACTTATGAAGACACGTGAATCATGATTGTCATGTGGCCGCCTTCCCCAATAACTTTGGCTTGTGATGCAGCTCACTTAGCACATTGTGTGCTAAAAGTGGTGGAGAGTATTATAATAAAATATCAACTTAATGGCGTAAATTTAACATTTATATCACTTAATTCATCAATCATATTAGTATTTTTTTCTTCTTCTTAATAAAGATGAACATATATCTACGGAGTATTATAGTAATATATCAAAATCAAGATAGCAAGAGACTAGAAACTTAAATGTAAAGCTATTAGATTTTAACGATGCACCGTATTTTCTCAACGAGGAACCAAGGCCATTGACATCTCTATGTTCATATTTTCTATAATATATTTAGGTACATCTCACGAAATTTCTTCCATGGAAGTCGTCCAAGTGGTCCTGAGTTTGGAACTTAATATATATATATATATATATTTCGGGGCCTTATAATTTCCCGGAATCTAGATGCACGTTTGGTGATGAGGCAGGGACTACCAATGAGATGATAACATAGTCAGAGCTGCGTAATAGATGCGATAATGGCCGATATACAAGTCACTCCATTGGCGTTTTACTTTAAATATATAATTTAGTTCTCAACTCTGATTTTCCACTCATTGAGAGCTTTTTTTTCCTTTTTTTTTTTGGCCATTTATGCGTCAATGCCTATTCCATAAGTCTTGATAAAATCTATTACATTGATCACGTGTGGTCCATACGTACACATGACATTGGTTTATGAAATTGAGGAAGAAAAAAAACTCAAAAGAGTCAATGTCGTTGGCTTCTTTTTTTCTTTTTTTTTTTTTTTTTTTTTTTCCTTGGTAGACTTTGTTGCCCAATCCATGAATTGGATTTAGGTGTCATGTTTCTAATAAGAAATTAGTGCTTATACCACACATTTTGCCTTTTGTTCCACAATGTTGAGGGACTCTGTGGCTGACGAGAGTCTGCCAAAAAGAGAACCTTTAAATATACAAAGATTTTTCCTTCTGCCAAATTCATTGGTGGTGGCATGTGCTAACACCTAGCTCCTAAATCCTAATATTGCGCAGTAGGTGTTTCTTGGGTGCGTTATATATTTGGAGAATCTTGCTAACATAACTGCCGATTATCCTAACAATAACTGTGTAATATAGATTAGTTTCACTATGAAACCTACATTTACTATATACTAACAATTCATTCCGGGACATCCGCTAAAATTAGATCGATACTATTGGTAAAAAAAAGACTATTTACAATTATTCTCGACTTACATCATTCGTACGGTAGATTCATTCCGGGACATCCGATAAAATTAGATCGATACTATTGGTAAAAAAAAAGACTATTTACAATTATTCTCGACTTACATCATTCGTATGGTAAATATGAATAAAATTATCATATGACTGGATTAATATGATGATATTATGTATTTTTTTTTAATTTAAACACTAAAACAGTGTTTTAGATAATAGTAAGAAAGCATATGAGTTGTTAAAACTTTTTGTTAATTCAAATTTTAACGGTAATGATTAATTTGTCCATTATTTAATGCAAGATGAATTGTCTACAATTAAAAAAAAAGTAATTATGATACGATACCCAACGCTAAACGTCACAAAACAGTTTTTTTTTTTTTTTTTTTTTTTGTTGGAAGTACAAACATTGTTTGGTTTATAACACCTCTGGGCTCTGGTTTTGTAATGTGTAAAACTCCACATTACAATATAATATACAATACGAAATGTTGAAATTAGCCGATAGATGTCAGCATAATTAAGCACTTTATAAATTCAAATATTTTCTTATTTTTACTTGGCGACTTTAATATTGCCCGAACACTACACAAGTATGACGCATCGTATGATGAATTTTGAAACCATAACTACCTTGTCAGTTTGTTGAAGCAATTTAGATTGGGCATATATACTTTTTAAATTTCTAAGATGCAACGACATACATAATTCATTGGTCGCAACAAAGAATTGAAATACAACTTATGGGGGTGGAATAGAGGCGAAATGCGACTTATTAAGGCTCTCTCTTCTATTATGTTGAATTGATTCTCATTCTTCTCTGTAATTATGTCTTAATTTGCAAAATATAACTTAGATTGACGTGATTTTAAACTTCTTATATGTTAATTGATGAAAGTAAAAGCGGTCATATACATTTTCTTTCCACTTGTGGTCTCAGTAAATTGTTAAAATATTGTCTGACTTGAAATGTGAGGACATTATAGATCTCTTTTTTATATTCAGCAAAAAGGGAATTGAAATGAAAAGTTTCCACCGGACCCCTCTTTTTATTATTTTCACGCACACTCATCACTTGGGGCGGTCAGGACTAGTACACTTTTTCGATGTGGCATCACATATTTAGTATACACTCAATTACCAACTAAGACTGTCTGATATGTAAATCCAATTTTTTTTTGCAAACTTTTCCTCAACACATGCCAATGGTGTGTGTGGATAATCTGACGGGCTCTATTAAATCCCACCACTTTCGTGGGGTCTGACTCTGTTCCCACTTTATCATGATCAACTTTAAAACAAACACTAGAAATTAATTCCCATGGCAACCCCACAAAACCTAGGCACATTTGTTTGTTCCATATCATGCTCCCTTCGCTATTAATTTTTACACCGTCCTTGCAGGCTATATTGCAATGTATATGTATATATCCCACCATAATGCCAATATTTGCATTTGTTTTTTCTTGGCTTCTGACGCCACCCCCACCCAATGTCAGTTACTACTTAAGGACGAGTTATGGTCGTCTTGCTTCGCACATTGTCTCGAGTTTCTTAGCTTCTTTTTCCTCCAAAGACGCCATTAGTATTGCATTACTACTTACTAGGCACTATACATGAGCCAAAGTTATATACTTCAGCCTTATTCATTTCACAGCTTTTACAAAAAATCACATTGAATTTTTTCTATTACAGTTAAAAGCTCTCATATAAAGTTACATCTCAATTCAAATTAAAAACTCGAATCAGCGAACTGAACGAGACCGATTCATATATATAGCTGCTCTTCCTAAAGGATGTGCGGCTCGCATTGAGTACTCTAGTACAATTATGGTACGTTAATTAATTTGTGCATTCTATGCAGTAACGTACTATCTTATTTCATTCAAAAAAATATTAATAACACTCTTTTTATTATTTTTTATACTTATTATTTAACACGTACATTTAACTAATAGTACATATGAATATAATTATTGCTTTGTGCTGAAAGTCATGTGACAATGACATGACATTTTGATGTAAGGGATACTTTTCGCATTTCAAGAAACTTAACAAACTAGTTAGCACGAAAGGAAGGAAAAAAAAAAACACACACACACACACACACACACAAATGAATTATCCATCATTCTCAATCATGATGCGTACCTGCCAGACTAGTATATTGCATTTATATATATTTAGGAGATATATAATATATATTGTTGGTTTAACTAATTTCGTGGAAATTTGGAACTCATTGACTCAAACTACAATATAGTGGACCGGTTAGGTGAAATCTTGGAGAGAGTAAGAGTCAACTAAGTTAAACATACTTTTCAAAAGTCAAATATCGTCCCGAATAACAAAATATTTGTGGGTTGTCTGATAGTAGAAGCAATGTATCATCCGACAAACCTCGTGTACAATTTCTTTGGTTCACGCACAAGATCTCTCTTGAGTAATGAGTTTGACACAAACAATATCACAGTAATGTCCACCAAGTTTCCTCATAATTTCCTTCTTCATTAACACACACACACAAATATATATATATATATATGTAGTATATGTTCGCTTAATCATTGGGGAAGGAAAAAAAGAGCATTCCTTTCTGGTAAGAGCCAAAAGGCTTTTGGTTAGATTAGGGAGAGAGACAGATATTAACGTACGACACCCAATTGGGACTTTGGGGTTCATATTCTCCATTATTCTTCTACTTTCTTTTGAAGTACTGCCAAAAGACCAAAGATCAGGTTATCTAAATCAATATTTTATTCTCAATGGATTTATATTATCTTGTTATGAGGTTCTATTGGTCTTTATTCTACCCTTTTTTTTTTTTTTTTTTTTTTTTTTTTTTTTTTTTTTTTGCTTTACCTTATATTATATACCTTGTTATATATTGGTTTACTCGGCATCTTATCCACAATTTCCATTTTCCAAGCTGACATGGATATGCTCACAATTCACAAGCACCTCTCTCCTCTTTTTACACCATTTAAAAGAATAAAACAAAAAGATTTTTTTTTTAAAATGAAAACTGCTTTCATTCCACGCCAACTGCCTGGCTAGAAATTAAAGTATGTCGTCAACTTTATACTCTTTTTTATTTATTTATTTATTTATTTTTGTGTTGTATAGTCAATTTAACCTTTTTGATACCTTTACCATATTTAGACACGAAAAATTCCCTCTCCAAACAAGCCATTCCTTTAAATCTTTCTTAAGAAGAGCACACAAATTACAAAGAAATTCTACTTATCATATAACGTTAACACTGCCAAATACACAACATCACATATATTAATCTTAGCCAAACATAAAAGATACTAAATTATTTTTGAGTTTCTGCAATTGCTAGGTCCTATGATTAGAGCAATGGTTCAAAGGGTACGTGAGGTGATGATATTCTTGTTCTTGGCCTTGATCTCAAAAGCGAGTGGCGGCGGTGGCGGAGGTGGAAAGGCACCGAACATTTGGCGGAGGGAGATAGTTCCGCCGGCGCAGCATCAGGCGGCGGAGAACGCGGCTTACTGCCTGAGCTGGCGGCTGGGGGTGGAGGCCAACAACGTAAGGGCGTGGCGGACGGTGCCTGTTAAGTGCCTCCGCTACGTCGAGACGTACATGATCGGCGGGCAGTACGAGAGGGACGTGGGGCTGATCCTGGATCAGATCACGAGTTACGCCAATGAGATTGTCGTCTCCGACGATGGTTTGGATGGTTGGATTTTTGACGTTGACGATACTTGCATTTCCAATGTTTTTTACTACAGGGGAAAGAGATATGGGTAAGTCATCAGATCAAATCTTTATAGTAGCCTTAATTTAATTATAGCGTGATACAAAATTGATATAATGATGGTATTAAATTATATAATTTAATTTTACGTCCTACTTAATTAGCTCCACCTATATATAGCTAGCTTGACAAATTTATTCTTTTGATATTTTCTTCTCATTTACAATCTGACACTTGATTTAATAACAAGTCCACAAAGCTAAAATATGCCTTCTTGTCAGTAAATAATATTAAATTTTTAGAGTTAAACTATTAAAAAATTCTTTGGTAGGGTGTAAATTAACAATGTTATATTCGTAATATGTAGTTATGAACCATTATATTTTGATTAAATATTTTCTAAATTTATATTTTGTTAATACAGTGTGGGGCATATGATTCCAATTTTATGAGTAAAAATTAAAACCAGAAGGATTCGTACCCAGATAAATACATACACACTCATGAGTCTAACCTCTTGAGCTAGTCTCAAGTTGTTAGATTTACATGGTATTTAATCCTCACAAGTGAGCTAATGTTAAAGAGCATGCGATAATGCAAAGATATCCTATGATAAAATTTCTTAAGTTATTTTCCTTTTTTGTTTTAATATTTAAGAATGAAAAATATTTTTCAAAAAGAAAAATGATCTCATTTTTTTAAAGACACATTTATGAAATCAACTTTATAAAGACATTATGCGCGCGCTTTATCACGAATAACTTTCAACTTTTAACAAAGTTGAAGAGGTAAGAAAACATCTATATTTATATGTATATAGGGAATCTTTTTGATAGGATCAGAAAAAATAAACTACTTGTAGTTTTTTATTTTTAGCTGTTAAATTTGTATCTGAATATATTCTGCATACTTTTTCATTTTAATGTGCTTTTAACAAGATCAAACAACAAAAAACTGACTCTAATTTGCGGTCAATATGTGTAGGTGCGACCCATATGATCCATCAGGATTCAAGGCATGGGCAATGATAGGAGGGTGTCCGGCTGTTCCTGGTATGCTTGGATTGTTCAACAAATTAGTGGAAATGGGATTTAAAATATTTCTTGTCACAGGCAGAGATGAAGAGACTCTTGGCCAACCCACTATTGATAACTTGCACAACCAGGGATTTCAGGATTATGAACGCCTCATTATGAGGTAAAATTTTATTTTTATACTCTAATCATTTTCCACTACTGTGGGTTTAATTTTGTCTCCTATTTTTTCCACAAAAAAAAGGTTCATTTTCACATAGTTTGTTGCTAGTTCTGCTTTGCTATCATTAATCCGGAGACTTGATTCACTAAACTTTATGCTGTTTCTTTTTCTTCCTTTTTTTCCCCTGGGTAAAAACAATAATGTTGTCCTTGGGTTTATTGAACCAACAAAAGAAATAAGCACTTGCATTTTGGTGGTATAAAATCTCATTTTAGTGCTAAAAGATTCACAATACTGTTTAAGCTTGGTATCTCCAGTAGTCATTTTAAACATTTCCCTCAATATTTGAGGGTAAAATAATCAGCGCTGCCCTTAAAGTTCAATAATTAAAAAAAAAAGTTTATTCCTTTTATGTTAGAAATTTAATGTAAAAAGAAATTATCAAACAACTTTATCATTCTTCATTTTGAAAATAAAAGTAAAGATTTTATTTAATTCAATTTTTTTAGACAATTAATTAAGCTCATGTAACTACTCCAGTAGATATATAAAAGCAACAATAATTTATAAGACAAATCAAAACTATACGTCTCTTTTCAAAAGGACTAAAGACAACGAGATGAGCTTTAATTAGTTGGTTAGAATCTTAAATATTCTCAAGTGTGTTATTAGTTAGTGGGTTGACAAAGTGCAAAGATTCGCCTACGCCAGCCAAACTCATGTGTAAATCAATATAATTACATTTGTCCAAGTCAACATCCATGCAAGACAAAACTCAACATCCGGTTATTCATCTAGAAAAAGCCTATTCATTTATCAATTATCGAAAAATGGTGTTCCTATAATTTGAGTGTCTATTCATTTACTATTTTTGCTTGTGAAATCGCTCAAGCAATTTTCTACAACTACAATACTAGATATATCTTATTTGTTATAACCTGTTGGATGATGAGGAAAAAAATATATTTTAAAATTGTTGAAAAAAGTCAGCTGAAAATGAATACTTGGGAGAAAAAAAGATCGTCTTTAATAAAGGTGGGTTGTACTGTAGCATACTCAAAAGATTTTGATTTTGATTGCTGGTAAGCCCCATATATAATATTGTTTTATACATCCTTAACCACCAATTGCTAGCTATATGGTACTCATTGTCTTATAATGTCTAGCTTCAGTGCTTACTTAATAATTACAACAATGAATTTGATAGAGCTACAAAACTAATTTAATAAAATTCATATAGAAGAGAGGTGCTACGTGTACCACCATGTGTGGTAACTAATACAAAGTTGTTATTGTCGGGTCGTCTGGAATTCAACTCTAGTAGAGTGCAACTTTTTTTTTTTTTTTTTTCCCCCCTACTAATGTTAGTTCAATAGTAGTTACCCCTCGTTGGCATTGAATTTTTACCTCATATTTTTTTTTTCTTTAGAGAATTTTATAGTGAGATGTAGAAGAATAACTTATTGATAGAATATAATTTTTAACCGTTAGATTTTCATTTAAGTTTCGCTAAGTCATTATATTTCATCTCGTTTAATGTTATATTTTTTCATATAATTTGTCGATTGAAAATGTGTGTTACAAATATGATATCTATCATAGAATGCTCTTTTCTTTAATAAAAACAAAAAGGAAATTTATTTGGTAGGACAACCCTACTAGTAGTACTATCGTTAGATCTGATAAAAATCATATCATATTGAAAAAATATACAGAATATACAGTTTCTTTTGATATAAATTTAACGGCTAAAAATAGGACATTATAATTTATTTTTTCTGGTCAAGCAACATAAGTTCAAAAAAAAAGAAATTTCATGTATTATATTTGGCTAAAGCGCTTGGAGAAAATTTTTTTTCTTTTAGACTTGTAGAATAAAATTGTGTAAACAACTATTTAGTCAGACATTCAACATGGCATCTAGGTTAACTCGACTGAATTAATATTTCACCGAAATTTTTGTAAATTTACAGCGATAATGATGCCTTTTCTTTTTCTTTTTTGTTACCATTCATTAGAACATGAGCGTAATATTCAATACATCGAAAACAACTCACACATTCACTAAACACTAATTTAAATAGCCTGTTTAATTTAAATAGCCTCAATCGGCCGTGATGATGCCTTAATCGACACTGGGCTTTCAACCTTAACTATGTGATCAGCCTAGCTAATTTAAATATAAACAGAGATTACATGATCTTAATAATTTTGTAATAATCCAACAGGACCGCAGCTTACAAAGGGCAGAGCGCAGTGACATACAAGTCTGAAATTCGGGAGCAATTGATGAGACAAGGTTACAGAATATGGGGCAACGTCGGAGACCAGTGGAGTGATCTCCAAGGGGAATGTTTGGGCAACCGCACTTTCAAGCTTCCCAATCCCATGTACTTTGTTCCTTAATAATTAACTAGCTACTTTTTTATTTTCTGTTTGCAACTTGTGATACCAAGAAGCTAAAAAATTGCCCTCTCCAAGTATATATAGGGCTCTAGTTACTACAAGTCTAATATCACAAGGGCTCTTTCTTTTTCTTTTTTTTTTTTTCCTTTTGATCTTCGGCAATTTCTTTTGTAATATCGCAGCGAAATTAAAGAATAAAGTACATATTCTCTCAAGGGAACTACTTTTATTCAGCAAAAAAAAAAAAAAAAAAAAAACCCTTTTGTTATGTAGAATAAATATGTCATTTAGTTGGGTCGCTTTATGGATCATGGTATTACATTTTTCTTAATACGTATAAAAAGAAATAGAACAAATATGTCATACGAGACTAATATATTTCTTCCAAAATATAGAAAAATGTATCTCGGCAACGCATTTGTGAGCATTCCTCTTCATCAACACTAGAGTCTCTATTTTGAGATCCCAAATGCATATAATAGCGCAACGACCAAAGCTTGGAGTATTTATGCAACATCCCCTAACCAACTCAACTTTCTACTAAACTCGGTTAGGATAGCATCACTAAAACTGTACATTTCAAACATCTCACATTGGCGGAAATCTTGGTGAAATTAAGATAATTGTATGCTAAAAGCTTGGTATAAATATTTTTAAACTCCTCCTCAAGGTTTTGTCTAAAAATAAAAAATAAAAAAATAGAAAGAGGCAATGTTTACTATCATTCGGACTAAATTAAGACTAATTCAAAATGGATGTATTTTAATAGAGTCTATGAAAGTATAAAAAGAGTGTTTCATCATAACAACTTTAGCTTGACATGTACATGGACTTCACATCATTGGTCTCCAAGGACTTTCAGCTCGCCTTCATGCCGTTCTAGTTCCATTGTTCGGATCACCTATGTCATGAAAACTTTGTCAGTTAAAAGCCCAGTAAGTGAAACATAAGTACAAAATGAAACAGTTAAAATAAGGTTTATATTTAACATACATTTTTAAAGAGTTTCTAAAACAATTCATTTGAATAAAAGCAAAGACCTGTGAGACATGGCACATATTGGGCGTGTTTGTTTTCGGTTTTGAAAATGTTTTTCACGTTTTTTGAGGAGGAAAAATTGAAACCGAAAAGAAGACCGTGTTTGAGGAAACACCGTACCAAAATAAAAAACAAAAACGTTTTTGTATTTTTCCCAAAAATTGATCTGTTTCTGAAACGGATTGAAGTCGTTTTCATTTTCTCCAGCTCATCTCCATCCCTCTCGCCGTTCTCTTCTCTCCCTCTCCCCATTCTCTTCTCTCCCTCTTTGCGGTGGGCTTCTAGCTGGAATCACAAGGATCTAAACGGCAACCTTCTTCTCCGGTTTCTTCTCCAGTCTCCGACTCTGCTCCGCCCCTACTCCCCCAAATCAACCGAGGTATATGCCCATAAATCTGATTTGCTGATGATTTTTTCGAGTATTGCTGGTTCTAGCTGAAGACCTAGGTCGGTTTTTTTTGCTGGTATTTGTTCTGATTTGCCTGTTCTCGAGTATTTTTGGGAGTTTAGGTTGGTATTTTTCCTAATTTGGTGAAGATTTTTTCGAGTATTGTCGGTATTTGTTGATGATCTGGGTGTTTTTTTTCCTGATCTTTGTCCTGATTTCCTATTCTCGGTATTTTTGGGTGTGTAGATAATTTTTTGTTGTTCTCGGCAATCCTGGGTATTTTACTGTTCTCAGGTATGGACTGATATTTGTTGTTCTCGAGTCAAATTCATCGATGATGACTTACACCAGTTGCTATAGTTACATGGATGTTTCTATTATTCCTTCAATTGTACAAGAGAAATTGAGCTATTGAAAAATGAATATTAAAATTGCTTTCTTCTAGGAAACTGCTCGTCTGATTCATAGATGGAACTTAGGCAGATGTTGAGACGACAAAGAAAATCTTGTCGTTTATTCGTTGATATTTTGCTTTGGCTTGACAAGAAAAACCAAAATGAAGTGAGAGTGTTATACGTATAAATTATTTACTATGTAATGTAATATAAATTATTATATTAATTATTAATATTTTTATTTGGGATTCAATTTGAAATTATTTAATATATTATTATTTTAAATATTATTACATGTTTTCAAAAATGAAACCACAAAACACAATTTTCAGTTTTTTTAGACTGAAAACAATTTCTGAATAAAACTACCAAACACATTTTCAGAAATGATTCCTGCCTGAAAATGAAAACGTTTTCATTTTTATTTTCATACAGAAAACAAAATCGTTTTTGGAACGAGTTCCAAACGCGCCCATTAGGTACGAAATCATTTATCATTCATTTTCATTTCATTTTTCATTTTTAAGTTTGGCCAAACACTTACCTTATTATCGTTGGGACATCTATGTTGTATCAGTCATGTCCCTTTTGAGGCTCATCCGTGAGTATCAATCATGTCTTAACGACACTTCAATTTAACTTTTATTACTGTCATTGGGACGAAAAGTGAAATCCATATAGCCAACCCCAATTAAGTTGAGATTAAGATTTGTTGTTGTTGTACTATCATTGGGACCTCTACGTTGGTATCAGTCATGTCCCAATAACAATTTACTTTAGTTGTGGTGTTACCACATTCCGCATATTCAACATAAGCCATATCTAGCATATGAAAACCTTTAAAGCATTGAAAACATATTGTAAAACCTTTTATTACAGAAAGAAGTTGAAGAAGAATAATCTCATATTTGCATAACGGTGGAGGTACCACCGAAAATATAAAGGCAAGCTTAGATCTAGTTCACGTATCCCAAGCCTGGCTAGTACAGCTGGCATAACAAAAAAGCAGTAGAATATTCTAAAATAAGCAAATTATTTCTAGAACGCTAATACTCCTCCTCAAGATGGAGAATACAAATTTTGGATTCCCACCTTGCCCAAAAGAAGATGAAACTGCAAAGGATGCAAGGCTTTAGTGAGCAGATCCGCAAGTTGATTGTGAGTGGTGACATGCATGGTTTTTATGATCCCAGCCTGTATTTTTTCACGCACGAGATGACAATCGATCTCTATATGTTTTGTACGCTCATGATAAACGGGATTGGCTGCAATAAAGCAAAGTTGGACCATGATGTTGAACATGCAATTCGCAAAGAACACAAAGTAACCACACAATCTTACAAGTAGTGTTGGCCATAGAACGATATTCAGCTTCAGCTGAAGATCGAGAAACAACTTGTTTCTTTGATCTCCAAGAGACAAGAGAAGAACCAAGGAATACATAGTATCTAATAAGTGAACGTCGCGTATCCAGACATGTACCCTAATCAGCATCCGCAAAGGCTTTGAGGATTGTCGAGTTTGAAGGAAAGAAAAGACCTTGGCCTGGGGTTTTCTTGATGTATGAGGAGCAGCCAAGAATTGGCTGAGACGGTTAACCGAATAACTGAGATCAGGCTTGAAATGGTGAGATATATTAACTTTCCAATCAAGCGCCGGTAACTAGTAGGATCAGGCAGTAAAACACCTTCGGAGGCTGACAGTTTGAGGTTCGATTCCATAAGAATAGAGGAAGGTTTACATCCCAGATACCCTACATCAGAAAGCAGTTCCAGAGCATATTTGCGTTGGCAAATAGAAATTCCAGCAACTGAACGAGCAACCTCTAAACCCAAAAAATATTTTAGGGCTCCCAGATCTTTCATCTTAAACCGCTTACCAGAGCAGACTTTAGGTTGTCCACGGCTGCTTGATCATTGCTTGTGATGATAATATCATCAACATACACCAAGAGAGCCAAAAAAGAATGTCCATGAGATTTGATGAATAGAGAATGATCACAAGCAGATTGAGTGAAGCCTTCCGCGAGCAAAACAGTGGAGAATTTGTGAAACCATTGCCTAGAGGCATGTCGCAACCCATATATGAATTTATGAAGGCGACAAACTGCATTAGAAGGCAAATACTCCCCTTGTCGACAAGTGTAACCAGGAGGAAGAGCCATATAAATTTCTTCAGTAAGGTCACCATGGAGGAAGGCATTGGTGACATCTAATTGAGTGAGAGACCAACCCGAAATGGCAGCCAAGGAAAGTAAAACCTTCATGGTAACAAGCTTAGCAACAGGGGAAAAAGTGTCAAGAAAATCAATGCCTTCTTGTTGTGTAAATCCCTTGGCCACAAGACGAGCTTTATATCGTTCCACAGTACCATCCGCGCAAAATTTTATTTTGTACACCTATTTACAGCCCACAGAGTGTTTGCCAGGAGAGAGAGAAACAATAGACCAGGTGCCATTACTTTTCAAGGCCTGCGGCTCCACATCATCATGCCAAACCAGAATCTCAATGGCTTGGGAAAAGGACGCAGGTTCAGTGTGAGATGAAATAGACAAGATGTAGTGACAGTATGGAGACGACAACCTGTGATAACTAAGAGATGAAAAGATAGGATATGAAGTGGAGGTGGAAGAAGGGACATCTGTAACAGAGGAAGAGTGTGCAGCCAGGTAACAATGATAATCTTTCAGGTAGGATGGTGGTTTGGATACACGATGGGAACGGGATAAAGGGGCAGTAGAAAAAGGAGTAGAGGACCCTGAAGGAGTAGGAGGATCAATGGTGGAGGCGACCTGAGTATGGTGAGAATGAGAGGTACTGGGGATGGGAGTAGGGAAGACACGATTACTGAAAAAATCATGGAGAACAGGTCCGGGCTGTGTGTTAGCAAAGGGAAATATGGTCCCATGAAATTGAACATTCCTAGTGATGTAGGTTTTGTGACTCTCTAAGTCAAGTAGCTTGTAGCCTTTGTAACTGATAACTCGATGAAATAGAGTTATTTAGCATACTTTTAAGCTTAGTAATTGTTTATTTTCTCAAGGTAAAATGCCTTAGTGTTAGTATTTTGTATAACATTTGTTAGTTTTTGTTTAGTTGATAGAAGGTTGATATTTGTGGAGCAATCTCGTTATAACATGGTTTTAGTCCTCATGTTCAATACATGTGTGTTGACTTTGGGTAATTAGTGCAGGAAAACAACATGGCATTGTTGGTAAAAGCAATTTGAAAGAAAAGCACGGTAAAGGAAGTGAAGGCAGGAACGAACCCGTTGCTGCAACCAAAAAGGTGCAAGCTGGTGAAGTTTGTTTTCATGTACAGCTGGCAGTGGTCCAAATTGCCGACTCTGATATGAGGGGACAGCTGTAAGAGCACTAAAGAGGGGACCATCAATTTTGGCTCTGAGGCGGACACATGTAATTAGGGTACCTCATCCTGCCCTAGTATAAAAGGAAAAAGAAGAGTGCTGACCAGGCAGCGAGAGACAAAGAGGGAGGCGCACAGAATTCTTGGTATGAGCTGAGAAGAGAGAAAAGAAGAAAGTACAGGAGAAATTGTGGGCGCTGGATCTGGAGCTAGAAGGGGGAGTACAGCACGGCTGACACAAGAGAGCAGAGAGACACACTTGCTGAGCTCAGATTTTAGCTTAGTCATTTTCTTCCTCTTTCTGTATTTACTCTCTGTGAACGAATGGAGCTTTTTATTGTTATTATTTCTGATTTTGTTGAACTAAACATGAGCTAAATTCTTTAGCTAGGATTATTGATGGAACCAAAGTTGCAATGAAGATTTATTTGCTATTCTAATTGCTTGCGTAATCTTCATCCTGTTTATTCAAGTATAATATCATCTAATTTCTGTTAAGTGACATGCCATCATTTAGTGGAAAATATAAACTTAACTAATTCTGGAAAGGTTAGTTTAGTTAGATTAAGCTTGGATAATATAAGGGAATAGTATAGGAATATATTATTCTCTTGTACAACCTATTAAAATTGGTGTTTAACTTCAGGTTTGGTAAACTAAAGTGCATAGGAATATGTTGGTTTTAGTTTAAGGAACTATAAGCATAGATCTGTTGGAAGATGATTATGCAGAATTTTAGGTTGACTGGATGAACTTTGCTACAGCAATCCTATAGCAAAACGTGGTCAGAGTTGCAACCGAGGGAAAATCAGTAATCCTAGCCCTTACCCATCATTGATTCACAGCTTAGAGCTTAGAACCTGTTGAGTTTTACCCCTTGTCTGCATTTCAATCACATCCGTTTATTTTACTCGTTTATTTTACTTAATCAATATCAATTTGGCATTCGAATCATTCTCGATCACTTTAGCACAACTGGTTTTTATAATCAATTCCTTATTAACTCAGACCCTGTGGAGACGATACTTTTACTCATTACTATATTACTTGTGCGATTGCGTGCACTTGCGTAGAGCTGTTTTCATACATAGGATTTTATCGAAACAGTAACCAAAAGGGTAGCCTAAAAACATAGAAGCTCGAGCACAGGAAGAGAACTTTGTCCGCTGACTAGGAAGAGTGGAGCCATAACAGAGACAACCGAAGGTCCGCAAATGAGCATAAGATAGATTTTTGTTGTTTAAAAGCTCAAATGGAGTTTTGTTGGATAACAAAGGAGATGGTGTACGATTAATTAAATAGACTGCCGTTAAGAAACATTCGCCCCAATAGCAAAGAGGGACACAAGATTGGAAAAGTAAAGCACGAGCCACATTGAGGATGTGTTGGTGCTTGTGTTCGACCACCGAGTTTTGTTCCGGTGTGTCAACACAAGAATGATACGGAATGATCCCCTTGGAACAGAAAAAATCAAGAAAGGCTAACTCAGGTGCATTGTCAGAACGAACAGATTTTATTGTAATATTATATTGAGTTTGAATAAGAGTGTAAAAATCTAGAAAAATGGTGAGAACATCAGACTTAGCGCGTAAAAGGTAAAGCCAAGTAGCACGAGTGCAATCATCGACTATAGTGAGAAAATATTTGTGACCAGCAGTTGTTTCGACATTAAAAGAGCCCCAAATATCAATGTGAACTAAATCAAAAGGTTTAGCAAACATATTATTGTGTGAGATAAATGGAAGCTGTTTTTGCTTAGCTAGATGACAAATGCGACAGTGAGAAGATAAATGAGAAAGAGAGCTAGGAATTTGTAATTCATTATGAAGAATTTGAATTTTAACAAGAGATGGATGTCCAAGGCGATAGTGCCATACATCACTTTTGGAGAATACAGAACAAGAAAACAAGGAATTACAAACTGGAGTCCCTAGTTCAAAAAAATAACGATTGCTTTGGCGTCTACCCTTCCCAATCGTCAAGCCCCGAGTGAGGTCCTGAATGACACACGAAGTAGAGAGGAAATTAACACAACAGTTATGACTGAGGGAGCACTTACACTTAGAAGATTAAAGGAAAACATGGGAACAAATAAGACATTATGCAAGACCAGAGAGTTGGACAATTGAACAGTGCCAACCCGATTAATGTCAACGTTGTGACCATTAGGAAAAGTGATGGTTGTGTTGTGAACTGGTATAGAATGAGTAAACATCGAAAGAGAGTAACAGACATGATGTGGCACCAGTATCAATTAGCCAAGTATTGGGAGGAATAGAAGGATGTGAGATAGAAAGAGCAGAGGAAGAATTACCATAGACGTGAGAAATAGAGGGTGCTGCAGCCGAATAAGATTCAGAGGTGGTTGCGCCATGAACATGAAGCTGCGAGCTGAGATAAGCAATTAATTGCTGCATTTGGTCAGAGGAAAGCTGCCTAGAAGAAGAGATTGAGGCGGGCAGAGGTGGCTGGCGAGTCGGTGGAGAGAGGGCAGTTGTAGCAGCAGCTGTTGGTGCAAATAAGAGAAACCTAGAGTGCTCAGATGCAGGGGTAGAATGAGATGTGGATTGATGAGAGTTTTGATGGGCATGGGCTTTGGGCTTGGGCTTGTAACCTAGTGGGAAACCATGCAGCCTATAGCAACGGTCCACTGAGTGTCCTCTGAGACC